TCAATTTTGAACTGTGAGACAACATTCCATTAAATGCGTTGAGCCGCTCGGCAGCCGCCACACAGAACAGGGAGGAGAATTCTGCTTTATCTGGACATCTGCTGCTGCTGAGCAGTTTTTCCAGACAGATGGCGCAGTGCAACTCACGTGAAACCGGCAGAGTGATATCAGCTGTTTTCCATCAGCAGACCTACGTCACACATCAGACTTCACAGAGGCACATACATTTAACTAGCTGTGGGGGCGCTGTGGTCCCCCACACAGCAGCTCATTTAAATGTTTTTGGAGTGTCGCACGGGTTATTTGAATGTGATTCAACACTTTGCTTCTACTGCGGAATCACCAATTTTTTGATTCACACAGACAGCAAGTGACTGTTGCATACATAACCGGCAGGAGGTGTATGCGCTCAACCCAAATGTTCCACATTGTGAGACAGATGCTGTGTGGGGCACACCAAATCTGCTCTCTATCAGAGCAGTGTACATCCCCTGTGTTCTGAACAGGGGGCGGATGTGATGTCCAGGGACGGTTTTGCGTCACGGGGACCGGGACCCTCCATCCAGAGCTGATGGCTCAGACGTGGCAGAAATCTTGCAAGCAGCTGTTGACCTGTTTGCAACACGAGAGAATGCTCAATGTCAACTATGGTTTTTCATTGAGCCCATGGGACGAACCACCGCTAGGGGTGGATGCGTTTGCTCACAGTTCATGGCCAAAATGCTTCTTCATTTTCCCTCACTCCCTCTGATATCACGATTTCTGAACCGAGCTCAGGAGGAGGGACTGACAGCTCTTCTGTCCCGAACGCGTGAATGCATCATGGTTCCCAGTCCTACGACACCTGTTATCGGGGCGCTCGTGGAATCTGCCGCAGAGGGAGGACACTCTCCTCCAGGTGGGAGGAGCGATCAGGAGTTATCCAGAATAGGCCAGCACCTTTGGGTCTGGCCGCAGAGCAGATCCACTTAAGCCCCTTATCCACTGGGCTTTTTGGTACTCCTATGTAACTAGTTGTGGCCGATTGCGTGTTTTATCAACAATGCCTCTAGTGGCGGAACCCACCCCATTTTTGGGACCTAAATCACTGAGGTCCCAGGTCTGGTTCTTGTAGGGTCTAGTTGTGACATCAGCGCACTGTAGGTCACTGATTGGTCAGGGGGCGTATTCATTGGTGGAGGGCGGAGATTCAGTCTTCCACCGGAAATCACAATCCACCATTTTCTTTTTCACCCGCATAACAGACAACAAGAAATCGGAGGAGCTTATTTTGGAATATTTTATAAGGTAAAACAAATAATCATGGCACAACCGTGGTCGAATGCTGAAGTTCAGGCATTTCTCTGTTTGCTGGCCGATGAACAAGTGCAGCGCGAGCTAGATGGAACGAAACGAAATGAAAAGATTTTTCAAGAGGTGTCTGCGCAGATGGCGGTGCAGGGCTTCCATCGCACACCAAAGCAAAGAGGAAAGCTTAAAAAACTAATAGTTGATGGTGAGTGTATTTTATTTACTTTAAGCATATTTCCTTTTCCTCATGCAACCGTTTCTTTGCGTTTTCTGAAAGTACTCTGAACAAACGAGGCTGACTCGGTTACGTCGTCATTAGTTAGCATCATTGCTAACTGTACTCTGTTGCTGTTTTTCCACTCTTATTTTGATGCAGAAAGTCCCACTGAAGATGAAGGTTCGCCAGATTCTGCTTTTGACTGTCCAATCCTCCTGCTTCTGACCCTTCCCGACCACACCAGCTCCGAGAACATCCACGCCACCGGGCACATGCACGCCACCGAGTACATCCACGCCACCGGGCAACACGCAGCAGAGCGGCACCGAACAGCACCCGTTACTAGGTAAGAAGAAGCAACAATCGTGTTTAACATCACATTGATCATGTCGATATGAATGTTGTTTTGTTTTTGTTGTAAAACACCTTGCATGTATTCAAACTACTTGTTTATTCAGTTGTAATGGATAAATGTTAAATTTAGTTATTAATTTATTACTTAAACTTTCATTTATGAAGTTTATTATTGAAATTATACAGGGTGTAGTGATTATTGTTCAGATTAACGATGCTCTGTTCTTTTTCTAAATTAGCACAAACCGTTGTAAATGACTACATGTAATTTATTTATGCCCACCTGCTTACTATCATTAAAGTACTAGACTGCTTTATGAACAGAATCATTTCTGATCTTATAAACAAACACCTTTTGAAAATAGCAGGAACTTTAATGTAAATAATTTATTTAAAAACTCTACCTGTACTTCATCATCTAACAGCCATTTTCTTGTGTGTTATTCCTAGGCAATAGAAAGCGCAGATCAACAAGTGCAGCAGAGAGCTTTGTTTCTGCACATACAGAACAAGAGGAGATGAACCGGAAGCAGAGAGAGGAACACTTCCATTTTATTTGTGAGGATGCCAAAAAAGCAAGGTAAGAAGAAGCTGCAGCAGCGAGGAAGCAGGAGAAGGCAATTAGGAGGGAGGAGATGGCCTTGAGGAGAGAGGAAGCAGATGTTCGCAGAGAGGAAGCACCACAGCGAAGGCAGGAGGCTGAACAGAGTGCTGCTTTCAGTCAGGCACTCCTTGGGGTGCTGGAATCCATTGCCCGTTCCATGGCAAACAGACATGTTTAAAAATATTTAGAGTAGATCATAGTTGATCTATAGAAATGTAGATCCTGCAAGGTAAGCCCACAAATAGCCAAACATGTAGCTTGTTAAGGTTGCATATATAATTAGTGTATAATTGTTTTTTTTGTACAGGTCTTTATTTCTAATAAAAGAAACATTTTCAAGTCTTGAGCTTCCATCTGATCATCAAAAATGAAGTGCTTACAGTGTTTTTTTATGTCAATAGTGTAGATAAGTGAAGTAATTGTTTTTTTACCTGTAACAATGCTGGTGAAGATTCTCATTTATCCTTGACACGGCAAATCCCCCCCAAAAAATATAAAAACAAAACCACAGGACTTTTTTTAAAACTGAAGACGTTTCGCTAATCATCCGAGGAACACTCACAATTCAATGAAAAAAGGAATCTGGGATTAAAGTTATAAAGCTGTGGTGTTCTGTAAGCTTGCTGGAGATTGATCTGCATGTGTCAGTCTCCATAATACAAGCTGACGGCACACCACAGCTTTATAACTTGAATCACACTCCTCGTTTCATTAAATTGAGAAAGAGCTTCGGATGAAAAGTGATACATCTTCAGTTACAAATAAAGTCCAGTATTTTTATTTATGTATTTTTTTTGGTTTTATCTGTAATGAGTACTGAAAAACGTAACCATAATACAGAATGTCCATGTGTTGTAAATCAACATTGCAGTGGAGTTAAAAAGGTGTAGGACTTGTGTAATCTACGTTTACAATCATCCTCATTCAGGAGGTTTTCAGTCATTGCATGTCAAACACCTCGGCCATGATGTCCATCCTGTGGATCCAGCAGCTTCTGCATCTTTTTCGCCCAAGGTCAAAAATTCTCTCCACGACTTTCACTGTGGTACAAAGGAGCACTAACTTAATATTGCTAAACAGCACTTCAATCATGAAGATAATTTGCGACAGCTTAATTTAAAGAGCTGCGTGGTAAGCATAAGCTCTGAAAGAGTTGTTAAATATCAAATCAAATGTAGG